AGGCCGGGATAGCAGTGGAATACTATTTCTTAACAAACTTTGCATATCATATGGTATGTAAGTTTATACTTGCTATACTAATTTGTTATTCTAATACTATTCTTGTCTTCCAGTAATTTATCTAGTTCTTGTTAAATTTAGCACTCACAGGTTTCCCCTGGGAAGCACGTCCAAAAAGCATTTCTATTTCAACAACAATAAAAATTATTTCAGGGAAATCTGGTTTGTATTAAAAATACAAAACCACATAAACATGCAATTAGCATAGAACCTGAGGACTTCTTAAAGCCATGTTATGTGTAATTACCTGATGGACAAAGTAGTAAATGAATCACAGATAGTCAATTATATTATCTATCTAAAGTTCTCTACATATAGATTTGTCCGTAAATAAACACAAATACACACACACACACACACACACACACACCTATGAAGTGAATCTTAAGCAAGTACATGATACTACTTCCTTGATATCCATCCAAAAAGTAACAGGTGACTTGGATGAGGGCCTGGAAGCAGAAAGATCAGTATAAAATCAGGGACTTGAAGTTGCTAAATCAAAACAATAGCCATGATTATTATCTAAATGCTCCAGAAAAGGAAGAGTTGAGATGTTATCAACAAACAAATTCTAATAAACTTAGAAGAAAAAAATCCACCAATGTTTTCAGAATATTGGAAAGAAATGTAAACTAGAAAAAAAATTTACTACTCTCTTTGAAAAAGTCTAAATTATCTACTTAGCTAGTATGTCTATGTGCAGCTGTGTTCTAGAACACCTTCCTGAGTATATTACTTTGCAGTCTGTTGGACCCCCTTTTCAGCCAAACTACTTTTCTTACACCCCCTCTTCTCACCTCACAGCTTCATTTGTATAATTACAGTTCTAACTTCACCATCCATTTCATCTCAGTATATGGCTACTCTGTTGAAAACAGTAACCTAAATTCATTATTTGTGGATTGTGGGTGAAATAGTGACATACCAGAAGCTAAGGCACAGATGTACTTGGTCTCAGTTGGCAGTAACTATGCAGGGATTTCACTCCTAAAACCCCGTCTTAGTTGAGACTCCATGTGGTAACCTCATTCTGCTCTTAATAAATGCTGTGGCATTAAATAAATGACCCAAAGGCAGTCATAGCTATTTTTCTTCAAGTAATATTTTTTTCAGTTTTTTTTTTCTCAAATGAATTAGATTTATATTGTTGTGATTATTTGCAAAGTTAGCCTGATATTCTCACCAACACACTGAGTCCAGTCAGAACCCATCCATCAGAAATGCAGTCTTGGAGAAGAGAACACAAACTGCTGTACCTTGGGACTCAGGAGCAGCGTTCCTCAGAACACTGTTCTCCAAACAGTGATTTGTAATTTAAAACTAAGAATTTTTAAATTTGAAATTCTAAAACAACGTGGTGTTTCATGTGAAGCCTGGACATTTTTCTTTAATATGAACAAGAAATTTGTGTTTACTTATAAAAAGCGTTCAAGATAAGAAACACATAAAACTGGAAAAACGGCATTGTCAGTATAGAAAATGGTGGCAATTAATTAACATCATTTCAGAGCATTGTTAGGCTGCGAGTGTCCTCAGGGCACTGTTGCTAGTAAATTCAGAACCAAGGACAGGCTTCTACAGTCCGGTACCTTGCGGAATAAACCGTTTCATCTAAAAGTCAGAATTATCTTAGATGATGTCATTGTGAATCCAGACCTGGAGAAAGAAACAGCTTTGTAAAATTAGATGTTCTGTCTATTTAACCTATCTGCTAGTGTTATAATGAGGTTTTCTTCTCTGTTGATTTAAAAAGTAACACCATCATGACTTCTAAACACAACACTTAAAAAGGTTGTATATTATCTTTGAACAGCTTCTTTATGTGGAACACTGAGAATTATTGAACAGAGCAGGGGTACACACAGGAGTGAAGAGAGTTTGGGAAGCTATCTGCTTGCCAAAACCCAGAATGCTGTTTGCAAGCATGCCAACACTGTGGGAGTAGCTTTGTTTATGTTCTATTTCAGTCTTAGAAGACATGAAGCATGTAAGGCTAAGTATGGAACATTTGGCTGCGTTGTCAAATCATGTTTTGTAATTGCATTGGCACGTGATTGAAAAAAAAAAAGGCTCCTAGGGGCAATTAATAGTAGATGCCCCTGATTTGAGACAGATATTTGAGCCTCTTCTGTGTTCACCTCTGTAAAACTGTTAACAAATGAATTGGCTCCTGCAATTGCTGGCCTCACCTAAGAATGCAGAAGAGGCTTTGCAAACTGTGAAGCCTTGTGCCTTGCTCTGCATGTTTAATATTATTTTTGTGCAGATGAAATTCTTCCCTGGTAGAGTAGGAAGGTACCTCTGTTGCAAATCCACTATGAACGTGGGGCAGAATTGGGTAAGATTTTATAAAGTGGCATGAAATGTCACAGGCTGATTTGCATTTTTGGTGATTTTATACATTAATCACTGAATAACCTTCAGTTTTCCAAATAAAGAATGAAGAAAGCAAGGGTGACATTTGTGATCATCTACAGAAAAGGACTTGTTTAAACTCTTCACAGATGGAGAGATATCAAGCATAAATTCTTTTACCAAGATTTCTAATTTTGAGCAGCTTTGAGGGTGTTTGTGGGTAGGAGAGAGCAAACATTGTTTTGCATATGGAATTAACATAAACTTTGCATACCATAGCCCCAGCTTCTCTACATGATCCTGGGAGTGGGGGTTCTGGAGAGTCCTCTAAGGATTGAGAAGCTCATAGAGAGTCAAAATTTCTGTGCTGCTTTTGATATACAAATGGCTCTAACAGAAACAAGACGCATAGGCGACCTTTCAAAAGGGAAGTGGGTTTTCAGGCACCTTAGAGGGTTTAGTACTTCTACAGGGATGCCATAGAACACAAACTCCAGTCCAAATGAGCCTGTTCTTTTTAAGCAAGCTATATAATGTTTTGCTTGCACAGCTGATGTAATGTATTTCACTGTTTTTTATACATTAGCTATTACAATAGATATGGACCAGTGACTGAGGTTTTTAGTGAATGCTAAAGATCGAGTGTATGGTTGTTTAATGTTTAAAAAACTAGTTATAAGAATCACATCAAGTCCACTGGGATTCACACAGGAAAATCTAATGCCAAATGAACTTTGGATGTTGAGAAGTTTATTGAATGAAACAACTTGCTACTGGTAACAGGCAAAACAAAAACAAAAACAAATCAAAAAAACGGAGGCTACAATGTCCTAGTACATTTTAGCTACCAAATTTATAATGTTCTTCCCCAGTTTAGAACTTGATATTCTTGTTTCTTGAAATAGACTTTAACATATTTTAAAATACAAATATTTATTAGCTGCCTGCCACCTTTGTGTGATAAAATGCCCTGCTGAAAACCAACTTAAAGGAGAAATGGTTTGATTTGGCTTACAGTTCCCAGATGTAGTCCGTCAGGCAGCAAAATGATGATGGTACAAGCTAGTCATATTATATCAGCAGTCAGGAAGCTGGGGGAGATCACAACGGATGCTCAGCCAGCATTCTCTGCAGTATTTAATCCACAGCCCTCCTCACCTGCCTCCAGATTGTGTCTTCACACTTCAGTTAACTTAGTCTAGACATCTTTTAAAGCCATGCCTGGAAGGTTCTACTCATAAGTAATTATAGACCCTATCAAGTTAACAAATAGGACCAACTATCTCAGAATATTTTTTTCTCCCTGTCGTTTTTATAAGTAGATTCAATTAATGTACTTTTGGTAAGCCAGGGTTAACACTGATAATAGTCAAAATATGAATAAGTAGTAAAAGCATAGATAAACCTAGTCGGTATAATTGATCACATAATTTATCACTTGAAAACGTCATTATCTTCGGGTGGTTTTCTACATCTGCTATAGCTCCTTTCTGGATTGTCATTTCTGAGAAGACATGAGACCCATTGTGTCCATATCAAATAAATACTATCAAATAAATACTTAGGAAGCAGGTATTTAATTTCAAAAGACTCCAGAAATAATTTGTGTCAGCATGTTTATAGCAAGATAATAATGAAACACATAGCATTTTGAGTCATCCAGCTAGATCCAGTCCAGAAACCCCATGTTTGAAATATGATACCGTGTGTGAGCATTAGTGAACCTTGGTGCCACATTTGGACAAGTCACAATTGACTACAAGTAACAGGTCATAACAGTCAATACACAGACCGTCTAAAATCTCCTGTCTAAAGTTATCTGCAGCACTCGCATATAAACTGAATAACAACTGAAAACGAATCTTATGTTTATACTTGAGCCCCAGACACAGGCTATCTCAATTCTATCTATGTATCTATCTATCTATCTATCTATCTATCTATCTATCTATCTATCTATCTATCTATCTACCTATCTACCTATCTATCTATATGAAATTTCCAGAGAAAATTTCAAAATGTAAAACATTATTGCTTCCAGTAATTTCATTGAAAACTTGCTTCACTTGTGTTTCTTCCTGCCACCAGGCCACACTTCCATTCTTTGGATTGGGAAAATAATAATACTTTGGGGCTTCTTCATTGAAAGCATAGGGGTGTGGTACCCTTGGAAGGGCTCCTGATTCCACTGATGAGACAGGGGACAAAGTATCTATCTCATGCCTGTCTTAGCAAAATGGAAGGCTTATTCTGGTGTTACAGAAGAGAGAGAGTTGTTCGCATTCAACAAAGTTCATTACCCAGTGTATCACGCACACTTCACTGGTATGCATCAGTGAAGTGGAAGATACTGAGCATCTCTCCATAACATCTGTTTTATTATTCAGTCCCATCGCAAGCATCCTTAATGCTGGGAGACAGGCACTTTCTGAAGCTGTGGAAGTCATCCCTTTTAGTGACCAGATACTGTCCGGCGTGAGAAGCTTCTCTCCCACAGCTGTCTCCTGTAGTCTCAATGGTGTACTAGAGCAGGCAGTGCATAATGCAGTGGCCCTCATGTCTCCTCTTCTTTGCCTTCATAGCTGGTGCCACGTATATCTTTGGGAAAAGTGGTGGTCTCATCCTCTACACCTGGCCAGCGAATGACAGACCCAGCACACGCTCTGACCGCCTCGCCGTGGGATTCAGCACCACTGTGAAGGATGGCATCTTAGTACGCATTGACAGTGCCCCAGGGCTTGGAGACTTCCTCCAGCTCCACATTGTGAGTACCATCCAGCTCTGGCCTGGATTCTTTTGTTTTCCTGGTGATCTGAGGTGTGAGTTGGATAGACACAGGAGAACATTCTCCATAAATGTGACATAGGTGCATGTCTTTTAAGGGGTGTCTTCTGTTGTGCATTCGGTCACACTCAGGGTTAGACAGACAGCTGGGGGTTGGCAAACTTTCTCTAAAAGGCCAGCATGTCAGCATTATGGACTTTGCAGGTCATACAGGCTGTTGGTTTTGCTACAAACAATATGCTTTTAAGACGTGACTCTGTTCCAACGAGAATTCATTCATAAAACTTGGCTGCAAATGTGACCACAGGTATGAGAGAAATGTGTGATGAAAGCTAAGGCTCTAGTAGCAGAGTGGGTGTGACAAGGAGAAAATTTCCCAGTGAGCATATTACATATTTAACGTTTTCCTTTAAATCTTGTGTCTGTGGAAGGGTCGAATTTTACTTTTAGTCTCTGAAGACCGTAAGAGCATTGTGCAAAACAAAGAAATTAAAAAGATTTGGAGGGAAAAAATTACTTTCTTATGAGGATAGAAAATATTTTTATAGCAACAATTAACCATTTTATCACTGTGCAGTCTACAGTTAAAAAGTAGGCTACAGAAAGATATGATTCTCATCTGTAAGTACCCCACATGTAGCCACCAAGAGCAGAAAGAGGAATTGTTCTCATTAGTTAGCAATGACAGGGTTAGAAAGAATGGATTTAATTTGGAACACTAAGGATTCAGTTTAAATAGCAGAGGGGAAAACAGTTAAAAAAAAAAAAAAGATCATCTGGGATTAATGCCAATCTCCACCAAGGCAGAAAAGGGGCATTTGCTGGGACTCTTTGAATCTAAGCTGCAGATCAAGGGAGGAAAGAAGAGTGTTAGTTTTTCTTTGCAAATCTACAGAAATTGGAATTGGCAAGTTGGGTCCACAGCAGCAGGCTCAGCCATAGCAGTATTCTGCTGGTGTTATCCAGATGTGAGACCAGGAAGAGGCACAAGATTTAAGCCCCAGGATGAACCAGAGCAGAGCAAGACAATCCTTAGGCTCCCCAAAAGCACTAGTCTTAAGTAAATATAGAATCGAGTTGAAGATTTTTAATTCTTTCTCAGATGCTTCAGGAACCATATGGTGCTGGGAGTTTTAGCTTAAACATTATAAAAGCCCATGCCAAGGAGCAAAGAGAGAGGAAGCCACAGTCACTACAGTTTATCTTTATTTAGCCTCCAAGAGCTACCATCATTTACAAGACTCCAGAAGATTTATGCTGCATATGACTTAATGACTATTTCATGGCAGCTATAACTAGGCTATTATTACCATCTTACTTGCATTTTCACAGTGATTTATTTATTTTATTTTATTTTATTTTTTTTGTTCAGTGTAACTTCCTAAGAAAAATAACGATTTGGCCTAGTCATCAACATATTTTGCCATCATATAATACGCTGCCAGTGAATCCATTTCTAGGCACTAGGGTTTGGTATTTCATCTTCGCTCTTAAGAAAGGTTTTGACTTACTCTTTGACAGTTTGCTTGGGGTGTAGCAGAGGGTTTGATGCAAACTGTTCGTGGATACTGAGAACTTTTCAAGGGAACAACAATACTATCCCTTTATTGAATTCTGTAATTCATTGTTGAGTTTGAAAAGTTAAAACCTCTAACCATGCCTTTGTGTCCCAGTAATATGCATTTGTTAGTATGTGTTACCAGGTGTTCCTTGTATAGTCATGTACTTTAGTTTTAACATTATATGTAGTATTTTATGAAAGTAAAAATACACTCAAAAAATTCATTAGAATATGTAGCATTACCCTGGAGTAAATCAGAGATGCTGCTATTAATTAAACACTCTGATGAATTTGAAAAAAGATGTTTTCTTCCAAGCTTTGGATAGGCAATTATGTAAACTAGTCTATTTTCCTCACTGTAATGTGAAAAATCCACACAGGTCTGAAGTAAGTAAACCTGCCCTGTCCATGACCTTTTAATAAGCATGGCCTCTTCATTGCTCCAGTCATTTGAAACCATTTTTAATCTGCTAATGAGTCTTTTTTTTTCTGTATTCTTTAACACAATCAGAACAAAAGAATAAAGTAGAAAAATCAAAAGATTGCTGTAAAATCCAGACTCTTTGAATAGTTAAGTGTGGTCTTCAGGAAAGCAAAACAATAAATACTGGTTAGGATGCTTCATGAGACATTTACAGTCTCATAAACAATGGTTTCTTGTGCTGAATGGTTTGTTTCACTGTGCTAAGAAAATTATCCCAAAGAAAAGCACTTAGGAGTCATTGTAGAAAGAAAGAAAAAATAAGGATTAGGCAGGAGGCAAAAGATTTCATTCTACACTGTCTTAAAAAAAACAAAACAAAACCTACAAAATAGAATTTCACCTTGCTGTTTTCTTTACACATATGTCATCACATTTTGCTCTTTTTCATTTTCTTCTTCTGCAGCCCTCTCCAATTCCCTAAGACCCCTTCCCCAGGGGCAGGAGAGATGGCTCAGCAGAAAGACCTCTTGCTATTCTTCTGGAGGACCCAAGATCAGTTCCCATTATCCATGTTGAGTAGCTTACAGCCACCTGTAACTCTTGCTCTAGGGTACTTTGTCCTTTGTAAGCAATCACATAGATATGAGTACATAGAAAACAACACAAACAGAAATAAAAACAAATCTTTTTAAAAATAAAGATTTTCTTTCTTTCCAGGCCTTTCACATCATGCTCCCTTTTCTATTTAAGTACACACACACACACACACACACACACACACACACACACACACACACTTTATATCTAGAGTCTGCATTTGAGAGAAAACATGCTTTCGTTCTGACTCCAATAATTTTTTTAGCATAATTATCTCCAGTTACAAACATTTTCTGCCAAATGTCATGATTTCAGTTTTTTAACAGCTGAATGAAATCCCAGTGTATACGTGTACCACATGCTGTTTACCCAGCTTTCTGCTGACAGACAGAAAAGCTTTCAATTTCTTAGCTGTTGTGAATAAGACTGCAATAAACCGGTCTATGCAAGAATTTCTCTGCCATATTGACATAGTCATTCAGGTATCTACCCAGGAATGATTAATCTAGATCATGTAATAATTATATTTTCGTCTCTTTATCGTCAATACTGAGGACATCACACATGCTAACAAAGTACTCCGCCACTGAACTACTGCCCCGGACTCTTTTAAATATTTTGAGACATCTCGATATTGACTTCCTTAATGCTTAGACCAGTAAACGTTCTGGCCAGCATTCTGACACAGTACTTTCTCCTCACAGCCACTCCATCATTTGTTTTCCTTTTTCCTTTTCTTTTTTTTTTTTTTAATTAATTACATCATTTGTTTTGTTGTTGTTGTTGTTGTTGGTTTTTTTTTTTTTTTTTTTTTTTACTTTACATCCCAATTGCAGCTTCCCTTCCATCCTCTCCTCCCAGTCCCTCCCTCTCACCTCCTCTTTTCCTATCTCTCCTCTTCTCCTCAGGAGGAGATATCAGCCATGGATCCAGCCTTGGCATATCAAGTTGCTGTAAGACTGGGTACATCTTTTATTGAGGATAGGCAAGACAGACTAGTCAGGGAAAATGCTTCCAAATGCAGACAACAGAGTCACAGACAGCCCCTGCTCTCTCTTTAGAAGTCCCACATGAAGACCAAGCTGCACAACTGTTACACATGTGCAGAGGGGCTAGGTCCATCCCATTCATGCTCATTAGTTGGGAGTTCAATCTCTATGAGCACCTATGGGCCTAGGTTAGTTGATTCTGTAGATTTTTTTTCTGGTGTCCTTAATCCCACAGGCTCTCCTTCAATCCTTCCTCCCCTCTTCCACAGGATTCCCCAAACTCCACTTAATGCTTGGCTATTGGTCTCTGCATCAGTTTCCATCAGTGGAAGCTTCTTTGATGACAGTGATGCTAGACTCCTGTCTGCAAGTATAGCAGAATATCTGTAGTAGTATCAGGGGTGAGTGATAGTATCATGGCGTGGGTCTCAAGCTGGACCAGTCATTGGTTGGCTCTTTCCTCAAATTCTGTCCTTCTGTACATCTTGTAGGCAAGACAAATTGTGAATCTAAGGTTTTGTGGTTGGGTTGTTGTCCCAAACCCTCCATTAGATTTCTTTCCTGGTTACAGGGGATGGCTGGTTCAGGATCCATTTTCCCCACTGCTAGGAATCTTAGCTAGGTTCACCAGCATAGGTTTCTGCAGTTTCCCTTGTCCTAGGTTTCTAGCTCCTCCTAGAGATGCCTCCTCCAATCCACTCTCTAACTCTGTCCTCTCCCCACCTCATCCCTCCTTTTTCATTCCCACTTCCTTTCCTACCAGGTGCCCTCCCTTCATCCACCCCTGCTGTCAAGTCTATTTTTTCTTTTCAGTGAGAATCGAGCTTTCCCCACTTGGACCTTCCTTGTTACTTATCTTCTTTGGGTCTGTTGTAGAATAGTTATATCCTGTACTTTATGACCAAAGCCCACTTATAACTGAGTACATGCCATGTTTGTCAGGGTCTGGATTACCTCCCTCAGGATGATCTTGTCTAGCTCCTTCCATTTGCCTATAAATTTCATGATGTCTTTGTTTTTAATGGCTGAGTAATACCCCATTGTGTAAATGTACCACATTTTCTTTGTCAGTTCTTCAGTTGAAGGACAAACTAAGTTGTTTCCAGTCTCTGGCTATTATGAATAAAGCTGCTATGAACATAGTTGAGCAAGCATTCTTGTGGTATGGCAGGAAATTTTTTAGTATGTGCCCAGGAGTGTTATAGCTAGGTCTTTAGGTATATCTATTCCCAATTTTCTGAGAAACCACAAAATTGATTTCCAAAGTAGTTGTACGTGTTCGCAGTCTCACTAGCCATGGAGAAGTGATCCTCTTGCTCCATATCCTCAACAGTATGAGCTGTCATTTAAGTTTTTAATTTTAGCCATTCTGATGGTTGTAAGATGAAATCCCAGAGTCATTTAGATTT